TTCTCTTTCAGTTATTGGCTGCCCTCCAGAAGTCTTGCTAAACTAATCTATATGGGAGAGCATAAACCAACGAGTGCTGACACAAGAGGTTTGGGGCTAAACCTATTTGCCCCACCGAACCTTCCTGAGAGAACCAGAAATCTGGATTTGATCGAATCCCAATCGAATCTCATTGGCCTATAGAAGTCTGCACCGGTTGCACCAACCAGGATAAACATCTATATCCAGACAGACGTTTCCCCCCCCCCCCTCTTAAGTGTGGAATGAATAAAAGGAAACTGCCTCCCTCTAGAAAAACTGCAAGCTTTAGAAGAAAGGTAAATCTCCCCGAGCCAGTCCATCCCCATTTCGAAGCTTTCGGCACTCTTGTTCCTCCCTACGGCTGTGAACGTGGGGATGGTCTGCTCATTGCAAGACCTCCGAGCGCCAGAACTGGGGGGGGGGGGGGGGAAGGGGAAGAGAAAAAACCCACGGCTTCTCCTCTGACCTGCTCTTGGAAGCGCTGTGCGGCTCTTCCCATTTGCTCGAAGGCGTTCTCCCGCCGTCTCCTCGCCTTCGCTATCTTGTCCTGGACCTGCCGCCACCTCCGCCATTTCAGCAGCAGGAAAGTGGCTAGTGAGCAGCCTAGCAAAGCAGTAACCAAAGTACTTGCGCTCATCCTCATCGTCGAGCGGGGCAATCCGCGCCGCCGCCGTCGCTTTTATACTCCGACTCCTTCCACTCGGCTCTGGTCAAAAGATACGAACCGGGGTGCTTTTCTACTGGACTCCGCCCCCTGCAAAAGATGCCTTCTCCCTCGGAAATTAGCATGTTAATCACGCCTGTTCTTGTGGTGAAAAACATGGTTATACAACACAGGTAGGCCTCGACCTACGACTACAACTGAGCCCAACGTTTCTGTTTCTAAGTGAGACATTTGTTAGGTGAATTTTGTCCCGTTTTAGGACCTTTCTTGCCACCGTTGTTAAGTGAATCACTGCAATGGTTAAGTTAGCAACACAGTTACATGAATCTTGGCTTCCCACATTGACTTGGCTTGTCAGCCGGTCACAAAAGGAAATCACATGAACCCCCCACTCCCAGGACACCGCAACTGGCATAAATATGAGTCAGTTGCCAACTGTCCAAATTTTAATCAAGTGACCATGGGAATGCGGCAATGGTGGGTTCCGGATCCCATTGCAACTGGTACGGTGCAACGGGGCCCGGCGTTGACCACATGAATGCACATAGCGTGCTTGCACACGTGCAGCAGCGCGGCCATGCGTCCTACCCTCCAGCGATGCCACTGTGAGCCTCCATGACACTCCAGCTGTTCGGAGAGCATTGTGCAGGCGCCGTACACACCATGCACGGAAGCACTGAAGAGTTCAAATATAGGTAAGGACGGCGGGCGGGCGGGTGGGCAGGCACCTATATGCCCGTACTGAGGCGAACCGCCTGCAACCCACCACTGGGATGCGGTAATGGTTGTGCGGAAGTCTTAAATCACTTTTTTCAGCGTTGTTGTAACTTTGAATGGTCACTAAATGAACTTTATAAGTCGAGGATTATTTGTACAGCCGTTTCAAAAAGTTTTGCTAATATCCTAATATTCTAATTCCTAGTTTTATAAGACCCACTTTTTCAAGCATCCAAAAAATAGAACCTTCAGCTTTCCTCCTAACACAACTGAATTATAATTACCAAATCCAGCTCCCACAACAGGAAAAACCATGATTAATTCAACTGGAGGTAGGCGGGGAAGATTTATGATAGGTATGCTGATGTAATCATATATTTTCTAACATGTTTGTCCTCACTCCCAATAACGCTAGAATATTCTGAAAAGATGAAAGATAAGATAAAAATTCCAGGATTTCCATTTATAACATTCCCAGGTCTTTATTTTTTAAAAACAATGCTATGCTTATTAATATTGAATGTGAGGCTGAAAATAATCAACCACCAGAAGGCAGCAGAATTAATAGTTTCTGTCTTTGATGGTATCTTAATAACTTTATTATGGGTTATCTAATAACTATAGGAATGTGGCTCCAATTTTATGGTCCAACACTCTAAAGTGCATTGCACCTTTAACGTCAGATAGGTAGATCAAACAGCCATTTCTGAAGTTCTTTCAGTTCAATTAATAAATCTTTCCTGAAGTAGCCTGCATTTATCAGTTTCCTAAATTGACAAATATGGCAAGCGAGCTAGAAAGAAATTACATTGGTACTTAACTCTAGAATTAAAGCTGCATAGCATACCCATAAATCAAACAGACTTTCATAAAAGTTCTATTTGTCGTTAGAAAAACACTGGCTTTTGACAACTTGTAAATGGTCTCTGAAAACATTAGTGTGGAGACTCTGTTCCATCAAATGTTTAGACAGGAAAACAATTGGAAAAACTACATATAAAAACAACAGGGCAGGACAGGGCAGGTCTCCCAATTCAAAAGCCTAAAGGTATATTTGGGAGCACTGAGGAATGTGAATATAGCACCAGTCTTCTACTCTTTAAGCCAAACTCAGCATTCCCAGGCTCATGTGGCTGACTTCCACAGCTGTCATGCAATTCCCCCCCCC